TTAAATAGGGCTTTAGGGACAATTGATGCACAGCATACACTAGATTAGAAGGTTGCAACACACGGATGGTGAGACATAACAGAAACAGAATAAGAATTACCTCCCATGGCGTGTGTTACGAATTCTTGAATGAACAAATTGGTGGAATTCTATCCGCCCTCCAGACAGCTAAGGAGTAGACAAAGCCTTTGGGGGGATGTCTGCCATCTACGTTATGGTCAAGCAAAGATAAAATGATCGGTGCGTACGAGCTTAATAGGTTGAAGAGAGAAGTCTGGTCCAAATGAGAGTCTGTTTATCCACTGCCTATTTCCAACCACGCATATGTATTTAGAGCGTTTGACTTATCGTACCCTCCCTTTGGTTATCAGCACAGATGCGGCAAGCCTCCTTAACATATGCCAGTTTGAAGGGATAGTGTGAGGACACAATTATTTAGTATGCAGAGAGGTTAGTCATAAAGTGGAGCTTCTGGATGCATTCCTGGAGTTTTAGGCATCCGCAGCACAGACTCAGGCTCAGGTTACGGTTTTCGTCATCACGCGGCAGTAACGCTTACACGGACAAGTCGCTAATCTGCTTGAGAGTCCATTAGGGATCGGACAAGTCTCTCAAATAAAATCCTTTAATCATAGAAGTTTACAAAGCAGGTTTTGAGGTTGGCACTGGGTCAGAACAGCTGTTAACACATTTATCAAAGAATAAGTCCAACGTATATGATTAGTACACTTTGAAGCCTGTTTTCCCTAGTCTGATTAATAACTAAGCACTAGAAACGCCTCAAAGCATTAACCATTTACTTATAAACGGGGATGGAATAGAAATAGATTACATTGTTGGCTTCTTTGAACAAAATTTTTCAAAAAACTGCGGTATGTATGGGTTTTATTTGTTTTGGAAACTTTACCCCACCACCGCTAACACTAGCACCATTATCAAGCCTATCTCTATTAAACATTTGTTTTTAAGCCACAGTCGAAACTCATTTATTTTGGTAAATTCAAGCACTATCAGGGTGCAATATCAACTTCTACCACAAATAAATTTTTCACAGATCTGATTACTAATAAGCACAAAATCTGCTACTTGTTAGGGTAGCCAACTTGTGGAAATGAAAGGTCTGCATTGAAAGACTTCTGCTTTACCCCGTTTGTAAATTCACAGCAAATAGGTGAGTTGATTTGGCCCCGAGGTAACATTAGAGTAGGCTGAGTAACATACCACAGGATTGAGGAAAGTACAAGTCATCTATGCACAAAGAAAAGGAATAAAACCATTGGTGTATGCCGGCTTTGTTTGCATGCTTTGAGCACAATCATCAACAACTTTAACTCTGCTATTGGGACTCCCTCCTTTTCTCATTCTCTAATCATGCGCTGAGAAGCAAAACAGTTTCTTCCTAACTGTTGCTAAATCTATTCAATTTAAGACTCCATCCAGAGTGTGTGAGGGCTGCCAAATATCCATTTTCAATTCTATCTGTGTACGTCATCAAAGAGCTTTAAGCCACGCAGGTATTCCTGCCTTCACTCTCTCGTACAAAAGAAGTAAAATGTTCATCAATTAGTGGTCACCATTACTGTCCACAGGTCTGTCAGTCAGGTGAGACTAAAGGGCAAAAAGATAAAACTACTCTACATTCTCAAAAATATCTGATCAGGAGAATGACTAAAATTGCTTCTTTTGTACCTGATGGGGGCTCTATTATAAATGCTTCAATTACTGATGGGTGATTGTGATAAATATGGTGACGGTCGTGGTAGTAGACGTGATGGGGATTGTGGTGATGGTGGCAGTAGTGGTGGTGCTATCCCTACTCATGCCTCCAAAATGTATCTTCCCTTATAAACACATCATGCTTGGAAACACATCGCTCACTTAACACTTGCACACTCACGGTGTGTCTGCCTTGCTATAAGTTCTTACTCTGTTCCTAATTCGCAGTGTCCTGCACACCATGCACTCCCAAATTTCGGGCACACATTCCTTAATGCATACTGATGCCATGGGAGCCGCCACCTAAACTGTGCGGCAAAATCGACCTCTACACCGTATCCATTAGCAGTACAGTGCAGTATTCACTGCTCTTGGATGATAAGACTCTCGGTGTTGTGGCTGTTAGTGCAAGCACCTTAATGACAGCTTATCTAGAAGAAAGATAAAGAAGGGAAGTCGTACTGTCAAGTGCAGCAGCTCGAATCGAGCATCTTATGGGAAATCATAGACGGCAAAGAAGAATGTCAAGACGAGTTAGGTCAACAGCAAAATTATTTTACTATTTGCTTCTGATATGTAAAAATTCAGGAGCGATAATCTTTTCTTCTTAAAGCCCTATTTGG